TATACAAACGTGTATTATATTTATCAGACAAATTTTGGTGCGCTCGAATGGTTTTTTGAAAGTGCCGAAATCGTTGATTTCATCTTCAATCTCAGAGCCCTCAGATTGCTAGTTTTCGTCATCGACAAGTGAATGTAGTGTGGAAAGTACCATTGAAGGGGAAAAAAAAGTTATTTCATGTCGAACATTTCCTTAGGTCTGAGTGAGGGACACCAAATAACAATAGTGTGGGCTTGGTTCTTTTCACTTCTAAAGGAATTTGATCCGATTTCTAAAAAACTAGATCAAGTTTTCACAGTTGTCATTTAGGGGGGAGGTATCAGAAGAAATTGACCGATAAGCTGCATTTGAGGAATTGATATAGGTTTAGTAAATATAATTCTTTGGATCCATTCGGCTATTCCATTCGTTGTATATGAAATTTATTTGTTTTCAAAATTTTACACATTGTGAGCATATACCAGGAATACTGAACTGATAGGCTGTATCTTCGAACTTTATTGAGGTATAATAAATAACGTTTATTCTTCTTTAAAATGTTGACAATTTTCTGAGTGGGACATCAAAAATAATAATCCGATATTCTCCATATTCGAAATTGATTTAAACTTGGGCTTTAAAAATAATGATCCGATATTCTTCATATTCGAAATTGAAATATTACGATGTGGAAATCGACTCCAAGTTATCTGAAATTTATTTGGTCCAGAGGCACTTATGGTGTAAGACAGTCATCTCCATAATGCATATTTGTGAACCTATCGTAGTATAAATGAAGAAAGTGGGATGAGTAAAGAAAATGGGTTTTCCGAATCCTTCATTTACTAATTTAATATTTTCTCAAATTACTTCATACTTTTTTCAAAACATAGAAGTGATATCAGGAGATAATGTCACCCTAACTGATATTTTCCTCAAAGGTGTATACCACGCAGGACTGTCACTTCCATGACCTATACGTTATTCTGTCACCACTCTCACATAATTACACATTATTTTTCAAGCGATGTCTACCAATACCGTGGATGCCTTGCCAGCTAGCTGACAGGCTGATGCACCATTAGTCGAAACAATTGAGTGATGTGGTAGTGGTGTTGGTGTTGGCCATCAACGTCATAGTCATCAACAGCATCAATGTTTGCAAAACACCAAAATGACCATCCACAGCATTGCAACATGGTCAAAAATTTGATGGCATTTATATGGAGTGTTGCGTTGTTGTTTCTCCCACAACACAGCACAATCAGCAGTAGGAGCAGCATCATCATCTAAGTATGCTGTGACTGCCTGCCTGCATACATAAAATCCAATCTAAAGCCTCATCTATATATGCATGTATGTATGATTGTACGAGTATGTATGTTTGTATGTATGCAATGAAAACCTCAAATTGTGTTGTGAACCACAAAAAATTCTATTAAAATTTTATGGCTTAATTTTACAATATTTCTCTTTTGTAGTCATTCCACTTATTTGATGATGATGATGGTGGCACATGTACCACCAACCCAGGACATAGTCATGACCATCATCATAATGGTCAGACATTGGCGTCTATGTTGCTTTCATATTTCTATATGTATATATTGGAATATTTCAAATGGAACAAAAGGAACACCAACAAAAATAAATTGGGAAAATAAACCTCAACAAAAATTTTGCGGATACCGACAATGTCCAATTGGTGGTAAAAACTTTGGCAGGACATATTTTTGTCCAATACTGATATTTGGATCTAATGAAAAATTTATATATTAAGTAAGTAATACAGCGGAGACCTTTTTCCGCAAAACAACAATGACGGCAATACCGTTAATGTTTAATGCAATAAAATAAAAACATATATATTTATATTTTATTGTGGTTTAATTTGTTATCGCCATACGCATACATACACAGCGAACCATCATGGGAAATTACAGAAATCAATGCTGTTAACTTTATATCACAAAAAGTTACTAATGGGTAGAGAGAGAGTGGGAAAACAAAATACCACGTCACGGTAATGTTAACCATTATTGTAAATTTTTTATGAGCTCCAAAAATCTGGGTACCGCAAAAATCATATTAAATCATATCGTATGTAAATTGCGGGGGAAAAAACGATCCTGCGTTACTGCCTGCCGCAACAATATTCTGGGAATTAATGGATTTTGGTTGATTTATGAATAGTTTATGTAAATGATTGGTTTTTACGGCAAAGTCATCGAAAAACTATTGAAATCTGTTGTGGGGGATTTGCAGTTGACTACAAAAGTGACAACCACAACATCAGCAACAACAACTCATTGAAATTAAACAAAAACGGACAAAAGGTACGTATGATTAATATAAATAGAAATAAATTCAGTAATCAATGACTGAACGTACGATATGTGGAATATTAATGACATTTTTAATGAAGCCGGAAAGAATATTTAATATTAATTGAAAAAAATATTGTTATTATGAACTGTTTACAAAATATTGTAAATGAACCCATTGATATGGTTAATTGTGGCTGTTAAAATATTTATGTAAAATTATTGGCACTAGATATATACATCCGCGGCTATTGCAGGATATTTTGGAGACGACTTTTCTGCAGTCAAAAAAAAATTTGTAAAACATATGCTCCTTCTACCTCGAGTTTTTGTGCATCATTTCATAATCTACAATTCATATATGATACCCTTTACCACTTCGGGTATATTTAACAGTTGAATCCTAACAAACGTCGCATTTTTTGAAGGACCATTAACATGAAAATGGATCCACACATCATTCTATAACTAATTCATTACGCTGTGCCAAATTTTGTGCAAATCGAAAGGTATATAGGGATTTTGGTACACCATTTACATTAAATCGGTCGAAAATATATATATGGGAGCTATATCTGAATCTGAACCGATTTCTCCAAATTTCAATAGGGTTCGTCCTTGGGCCAAATAAGTGACTTGTGTCAAATTTCATCCAAATCGGATCATAAATGCGATCTGTACTTTCTTTACAATTTAACATCTACAGACGGACGGACATGCATAAATCGACAAAAAAGGGGATTATATGCATATTCTCAAAAGAAACCATGTGCCTATCTAGTTTCCTTTTGCCTGTTAAAAACATACGCACAAAGACACAATACCCTGTACCACAGTGTGGTGAAGGGTATAAAAAGGTAAAAATGTGTCAATCGATATTGCCAACTGATATAAAACCTTAGGCTATTGTTTGCAGAAATCTACGGAATTACTGCCTAGGGTGGAGGTATTTTTATATCCTTCACCACAGCGGGATATAGGGTATTATGTCATTGTACATGTGTTTGTACCAGGCAATAGGAAACGACATAGATACATGGTTCCTTTTGAAATAAGCTTAGAATCATTTTCTGAGTTGATCTATGCATATCCGTCTGTCCATGTATTCTTGTGAACAAAGTGTAGGTCGGAATTTAGCACAACCATATATTAGGTTGGGGAAAATTTTACATGAAGCTGGATTCAAAAACAGGCTAAATGTTTGCGTGCCACACCAATTAACAGAAACAAACTAGGATGTTAGCAGTCGTAACATCGACCATAAAACAGTTTTAAACCATTTACACAAAGCTAGATTCAAAAGCAAACTCAATGTTTGAGTACCACACCAATTAACAGAAACAAATAGGATGGATGGTATTTCCATCAGCGAAGCCATGGCCATACGGAATGAAATAGAAACATATCTTAAACGGATGGTGACTGGAGATGAGAAATTGATCACATACGATAAGGCCAGGTAAGGCTAGGTCACACACATCTACAGTGACTCTTCAGAAACTTCGGCAGCTTGGTTGGAAAGTTTTAATGCATTTGCCATGCAGTCCGGACTTGGAACCAAGCGTTTAGCTCCCATATGTAGTCTCGTTCGATTTTATCTAAATGGTGCACCAAACTCCAATGGTGGTGAGACAAAATTTAGCACAGCATCTCGAATTAAGTCCAGTTTGATGTCTATGATGTTTTGTTGAAATCAGTTTAGATTTAAATATAGCTTCCGTATATAGTTTTGTCCGATTTTATTTAAATTGTGCACCAAAATCTCAATATTTGTCCGATTGGGACAAAATTTTGCACAGCGTGCTGAATAAATTCCAGCTTGGTGCCTGATGTTTTGTTGAAATTGGTTAAGATTCACATATAGTTCCCTCGATTTCTTACAAATCGTAAACGAAAAAATCCAAATATGCATGCATTTTTTCATATATTTCATATATAGATTGGTATATGTATGATTTTTTATTCACCCGATTTCATCTCAATGGTCTTCCAATGATGCCATGTCTACAGGATATTGTACAAATTATCATCTCTTGTATCTACCAAAAATGGTGAAGGGTATTATATAGTCGGTCCTGTCCGACTTTTTATCTTTCCTTACTTGTTTTATATTATTGTCGTACCTTGTTCTTTATCCTCCTAGCTCCGTTCTTTAACTGAATCTTACTCAAAAATATTTATCTATTAAGAACGTATTTAAGTTATAAAATTAAATTGAAGATTTCCAAGAAAAAATCCCTGAAGTTATCTGGTTTAAGTAAAAAAAGAAACTGCAACATCTTTAAACCTGTACAAAAATCCATTATCTATCAAAAAACTGGCACACTATTTCATTTATCTTCATTGAAAGACAAAACTTTCCAATGGACCAGAATAACGTTATCAATCAGTTGGAATTTACGACCAACGTTGATTGACATGTCAAGCTAGTATGTCACTGACAAAGATCCATTTTTTTTTGTGTTTTTATTCAAACCTGTATATCAATTAGTTATGGAGTTTTTGCAGTTTTTTCTTCTTGGGCAATTTATGCAACTTCATATATTTTTCAGTATGGTATGCCATCACAACGTGTGCCTGTTCTTTTTTTGTATTTATAAAGATTAACCTCAAAGAGCTTTAGTCCCCTTTACCTTGCTGACTTTTAATAAATATGTTTATGTTGTGTATATTTACACATATTTTTATTTAACTTACCAAATCTCTGCCGGTGCTAACATAACTTTCCAAAGGACTACACGGACGCAGACGATTAAGACCCAATGTATTGCCTGTACTGCTAATTGCCGTATGATCGCATAGTTTAGGTGTCCAATAATCGTAAATTTCCAACATTAAACGCCGTTTTCCCTTGGTGCTCATCAGGGCCATGGCATTACCAACGCCACCACCACCGCCACTACTTTGACCGGAATCTTTGCCACTCTTGCTGCTTGAAATATAATTTAAGCTTTCCTTTACCGCATTTATGCCATTACCACCAGATTGCTTGCCGCCACTACCACCGCCGCCGCCTTGCTGCTGATAACCACTGTATTTATTCTCTTGATTAAAGACACTCGACTGTGTCGGTCCATAGATGTAGGTATCCACCGGATTCCAGGCATTATCAATGTTGACACGTACATTTTTTCCCAGCTTGGGATTTTGTGGACTGTAATAGTAACTGTTGCCGTAAGTGGCCGGATCCAACAATGTCGGTTTACCACCATCTGCCGATGAAGCAACAGGCGGCGGCGGAGGTGGCTGACCTGTTGTAACACTTGTTTGTTTGTTGATCGGCACATATGTGCCATAGCTGTCCCACATACGCATACGTATGATAAAGGGTGGCAAATCCGTCTGTAAATATATGAAACAAAAACAACAACAATATGTAAGAAAACCATGTACAAGCATAAAGGATATGTTAAAATAACAATGACGTTTTCAACAAAGAGAAGGGCTCTGATAGAAACTAGGGATGAGATATAAGAATGTTGATGGATGTAGGTTACTGTTATAGAAATTATTTATATTTGTGGCCATTGTTGGAATTAAAATATACAGATGTTATGTGTGAGGAAATAGAATTGATGTATATACCAATGCGTTAAAATATTCAGTTATCGTATAGGAATTTAAAAAAAAAATGTGTAAGAGTGGCTGGAAACACTTCACATATGAGTAAAAAATAACGTAGCATTTTTCAAAAAGGTATGTTTTTTTATAAAATCGTTTGACAAGATCTTTTAAAAACTTAGGATAAACAGGTATTTTTTGGAATTGTTAAAAAAAAAACAAATATTATTGTTATTGTATTGTAAGTTGTTAATAACATAATTACATTCCTAATTTAAAGCAAGAACTTTTTATTCAAACGAAATATATTTTGCTAAACATTCATTGACTTTGTAGCGTATAATTTACGACAATATTTAAACGTATACATATACATATACGAGATTAATAACTTTTCAAATGTTGCCCTTTGTGTGATTGGTACAAAACGTAGTGGACCCATATCCCATCTTCAAACATTAAAAAAATAATTTTAAGCAAAATTGTTACGATTTGTTACTAGAAGGACATGTATTTCTTATCTTCGAATCCAATCTATGTTCGGAAGAAATCCCTTCGAAAGTTATCGTGGAAAGTTATTGAGTACTTTGTGAAGTGGATCCGATATGCGAAATTACAGCCCGTCTGTATAGAAAATGTGGGTCAAACGTTTAAACACACACACGCACTGAAAATCGGCTGCCACTCTTTTACGGTCCTTGGCTTGTTAACGTAAACCTTTGACTTCAAATATCCCCACAAGAAGAAGTCAGGCGGCGTCAAATCGGGCAAACGCGGTGGCCAGTCCAAATCACCACTTTTCGACATCAAACGGCCCGGAAACAAATTCTTCAGAAAATTGTCGATTGTTATGCGACTTGTGTGCGGTGAAGCGCCGACTTGTTGAAACCAGAACTGCCTCATACGCTTTCGACGAATAATTGGCATCACAAAATTGGGCATTATGTCGCGATAACGCTCCTGATTGATGGTAACAGCATGGCCATTTTCATTTTGGAAGAAAAACGGCCCAATGACTGTTTTCGCACTAACGTCGAACAAACTGTGACTTTTTCGTCATGAAGATGCACTTCTTGAATCTCCTGAGGATTTTCAGTGGCGTAAAAACGGAAATTTTGCTTATTTACGGTCCCATTCAATATGATCGATCGCCTTGGTCGACTTTTATATGGCCTCTTCGGATTAGAAAGAGCCTTACCAGTCGAAAATTTTCGTATAAACGCTTAATGGTGTTCTTAGAAGGCTCCCTTCTCACATTTTTTTAAAGTTTTAAAAGCACGTTGAGTTTTCACAATTGACTTGTAATGTAAAATTTAACTATTTCAGAGCGCTCGCGTGGCGTGTATTGGTTCATGGTAAAAATCTGTTTGGACTGACGCTTCAAACGCGGTATGCCATTAAGCGATGTGACATCTATGTCAAAAGTTATGGCGTCGCCAGATGGGTCCGTCGAATATGGGCAACCCTGTAAGTTATTGAAACCGGTTTTGTTATCTGAATATCCAGTTAAAAATTTACAAAACCCGTTCTTTTTTCTCCTCATACTAGATCTCCCAACATTTTAGTTGCTCAAAAATTGCCAACACTATATGTCATGTCATTAGAAATCTAGAAATTGAATCGAATTTATTGAACCGGGTTATAATCGATTTTATTGTTTGAATATCCGGTTGAAAAATTTAGAAATCCTGTTCTACTCTTACCTAAAACCTTCTAAGCAACATTTTTGTAGAATATTGCGAGGATGAAAAATCTCATCGTGAGATAATTGGAGTCCTATTCAATAAACTTAGGACGTAAAAGACACACAAGGAATCCGGTTAGAAGGACGAAATGTTCTGCAAAAAATTCTTCACTCAATTTTACTGCAGAGATGTAATCCCAAAAATACATACAGTAGCTACCAATGAAGATATCGCTATTCTAATTTGATAGTCGTAGACGTTTTTTGCGTCTTGTTCGTAAAAAATAATGTATTGTCTTAGACCCCTTATATAGGTCCAGTTTCATTATAGGTATAGATCTTTCCAAATGGTAGAAGTGGCAATAATTTGACATTTCTGGTTTTTGGTGGGTAAAAAATGGTTTATAGACCATAGACGTGGGACCAAATGTTGACATAGCCCTTTAAATATTTGTAAATCGAAGATTTTGGCATTCTTCCCACCATGTAACTTTATCTCCAAATATTTGTAGATTTTTAGTTCATATTGAGTAGCAAATTTCCAAAACCAAAACCAGTAAGGAAAGTTCAATAGTCGGAAGGGGCCGACTATATGATACCCTCTACACCTTTGGATATATACAGAGGTGCTCAAACATACAATATTCTTCCCATAGAACAAACATTGCATATTTTCATGACCACGGTCATGGAATCGGATTAAATAGTTAATAAAAATAGATATATGAACCAAATTAAATCAACCCATAAACATGTCATTTTGAAATCTATGCAAAATTTTATGTAAATTGGACAGACTTGGGGTCAATGGTGTTCCATTTTTATGAAATCGAGCAAAACTATGTATGATAGCTGCAACAAAGCCTCAAAGATTTTATCTGAATTGAACAAATGGTATATATTTAGGAAACAATTTCATAAAATCGGAGGAAAATATATAAGAGCTACATCTATGTCTGAAGCGAACATTTTTACACTTCATTGTACGCTGTTCAAAATTTCATAGCAGTGGGAAAAACTTTGGGTATTTGGGGTACCATTTGGCCAAATTTTACAAAATTATATATCTGAATCGATATCAACAAAACTTCAAAATGTATTCTCCACCATTCGATCTTATCTTAACCCACCTTATTCTAGGCTCAAATCAGTACGCATGGCTAAATTTCGTTTTAATCGAACGGAGTTTGGTGTGCCATTTTGGATGATTGGATTTCAATGAAACTTAACACACTCTATTCTAGTCTCAATACAATACGATATCCAAAATTTTGTCTTAACCAGTCCAACATATGGCATTTGGTGCACTATTTACAAAAAATGGGACGAAAATTTATATGGGAGTTATATCTATTTTGAACCTTTTTCCTGTCACACGTTATTCTAGACTCAATACAATACGATATCCAAAATTTCGTCTCAATCGATTTAACTTTGGTCGTTTGTTACACCTATTACATAAAATCGGACGAAGATATATATGGGAGCTATATCTATATCAGAACAGATTTCTACAAAACTAAAAATACTTTATTTCTAGACTTAATTCAATACGATAACCAAATTTCACATCTCAATCGGACACACCTTTGTAGATTGTGGCACCTTTTACCTTTTAAATCGGACAAGAGCACATGTGGGAGGTATCTGCTCCGATTTCAATGAAACACATTTTATTCTTGAATCAAGTGAATACGCTGTGCTAAATATTGTCATAATCGGATAATTATAAAATCAGATGAAAATATGTATTCGGTAACTATATCTATTTCCGAGCCGATTTCTACAAAGCTCAACACACTTTACTCTATATTTTTTCTTTATTATATCCAAAATTTCGACTAAATAGGGCAAACATTGCGAATTTGGTGCACCATGCACATAATATCGGACGAAAATATATATATAGGAGCTATATCTGTATTTAATCCGCTTCTAATGTTTTTTTTCGAACGTTCCCACGCCAGAAAATGATACTCTGTTATATAAATTATTATAAATTTCACATAAAGCGCGAAGTGGATTAGTTAGTTCATAATTATGTCTAACTAGGGATAAGTTAAGAGGTAAATAATTACGTGTTCTACGGGAGGGGATATTAAATTTTATTTCACCGCTTAAAAAGTTTGAGTCAATTTGTCCACGTAACAATTTTATTATAAATATTGCTCTAAGCATTAATCGCCTTCTTTCAAGAGTTGGAAGATCAATCGGTTTCAAACGGTTAACGTACGGTGGAAGTGCTTCAAGTGGATTCCAAGGTAGACCCCTAAGATCAAATAAAAGAAACTGGGTTTGAACCGATTCTATTTTATTAGAATATTTTTTATAAAATGTGCTCCAAAGTACACAGCCGTATTCCAATGTGGGTCGAACAAGGCTAATGAATAGACGTTTAGTTATATACGGATCATTAAATTCCTTAGACCATCGTTTTATAAAACCAAGCAATATCTAAATGAAAACGCAATTTGGTATCTAAAATTATACCAAGATCTGTAAACGAGTCTACGGAGTCAAGCTTATGAGAACCTATAAAGTAATCAATAAATATGGGCCTGGTCCTCGAAAGAGTTAATTTTTTGCACTTCATAAAGTTTAGCGACATACCATTAGAACTACGCCAGTTTACGAATGAGTGTAGGTCATTTTGCAAATTTAATGAGGAGTTAAGTGTATTTAGACTACAAACATGTTTTACATCATCTGCAAACATTAAAATATTAGAAAATCGGATTACAGATGGAAGATCATTTAAGTAAAGGACAAAGAGTAATGGACCCAAGTGGCTACCCTGAGGAACACCAGATGAAACACTTGTGTCATCTGAGAGATGTGAATTTAAATGTACTTTTTGAGTACGACCTTGTACGTAAGAGAAAATCCAATTAAGAAGGATTGTCGGGAAACCCATAATATCAAGCTTATAAATTAATAAACTGTATACAACAGTATCGAACGCTTTACTGAAATCCGTATAAATTATATCAGTTTGCAGTTTATTGATAAACCCATTGTGAGCGTGACACATAAGCTCCATTAGGTTAGTCAATGTAGACCTCCCTCTTAAAAAGCCATGTTGGAAAGGAGATACTAT